ACAAATGGCTGTCCAATCTCTTCTTTAAAACCTGCAGGACGGAGCACCCACAATCTGTGGACTGAAGCTGTTCCACTGATTAATTGTTCTCCTTGTCAGGAAATTTCTCCTTAGTTCTAGGTTGGATCTTTTTTGTGTATTTCTTTATCAAATGGCTAGACATATATTAAGTCCAGACAATCCATTCTTTTACTCAAGTTTACTTCCTGAATGAAGGCACCAAAGCTATGTGGAGCACAGAAACATGGGCAAAAGCAGTTTTTCTAAACTGATTGGAAAATTTAATTCAGTCAGTCCAACTCAACAATCTAAAAAAGTTGAAATCTATTCACAGCTAATTCATTGCAAAAAAAAAAAAAACATCAATGCCATGGAGCTTTTATAATTATTATAATTATATAATAATATTTTATAATTAATAATTAATAAATATTTAAGAAATAACTATATTCTTGTGGCCAAACTAGCAATCCAACTAGTTCTTGAGTAAAGGTTTCCCCTATCCAGTTGTGTTCAACTCTAAGGGGGTGAAGCTCATCTCCGTTTCTAGCTGGGAGAGCCAGCGATGTCTGAAAACACTTCTGTGGTCATGTGTCCGGCATGACTATATATCAAGGCTCAGTCAATTCTGTTTTCTTCCACCAAAGTGGCACCTACAGTATTTATCTACTTGCATTTGCATGCTTTTGAACTGTTAGGTTGGCAGGAATTGGGGCAAGAACGGGAGCTCACCCCATCATGTGGTGCTTGGGTAATCAAATTATTCCATATGATATTTTAAAACAGGAAAAAATGTCATTGCCTCAAAGTGGCAGAATGATGTCAAGGAAATGTTAATGTCACGGTTCCGACTGACAAGCCCAACTGAGCAAGCACCATCGAGACAATCTGATCTCTTAATGCAAAACTTTATTGAGTACATCATTTCCAGTGCTCCAACTCGGTTAGGATTATGGTTATGTTTATGGTTATTATTTCGGCATGAATGAAGCAAAACCAGCTCTGGCTAATTCCTGAACAACCCACTATAGTTAAAACATAGAATTCTCCCTGCCCCTATTAGTGCAGGTCATATGGTCCAATCGAGCATCAAGATATTATTATGAGAAAGTGTCTCTGTGTATTTGCAAACATCTGCTGAAACATCCTTTGTTCACATGGGCCAACTTCTCGTTGTCTGGAGCCTGCCTTCCATTTCCCCCTCCCCTCTGCCTAGTGCATTTGCAAGCTGAGAAACAATAATGGTGGCCACATCATACAGACGCTTCAAGCTTGACAGTTAAAATGAAATTGTGCAAGAAAGAGTCCTTGTTCTCCAACCTTCTCACAGTTGAATAATATACAAAATGGTCCAGGATACCAGCACCAGCAATACAAATCCTATGAAGAAGGCAAGCTCTTTCATTCCATGAAGTCACTGTTAACTGCACTTATGGATTTCACTGTTATGAGATTTTGTGCAGCTTTTGAGAAGGAGAAGGCTAAATTGTATAGAATTCTATGCATTATGTTTAAAAATATAATGTATGTTTTCGTAAGTGCTTATAAAAGGTCAAGTTAAATACAGTGAAATCAAACTGGAATTCTTTGTTTCTGAAAAAAAAAGTATGATATTTCATCTCAGAACTACTGTACCTTCTTTTCCAGTATTTCTATAATATCAAGCAAGAGTTGTATGTAATTGTTATAAATTTTCCTTAGGGAATTAGCTAAACAGATCCTTCAAGAAAACATCCCATCTCCAATGATGAACAAAGAAGTAAGTAGAGACCTGCATTGTATCTTGACTTCTTTGTTAGTCTTGCCATTTTGCCTTCTTATTCTCAGCAAGCAGCCACATTTGATTTTTGTACTTGTTCTTCAGTTTTACATCTTCTTGTTATGACAGGTGAATATATATATACAGTATATTCATTTTTCTGGTAGTTCAGCTGGTCATTTCCCTTTCAGCTTATGAGTGACACCTTTTCAGCTGTAGCACACCTGACACAGTCAAAACAAACCTTTCCATGGCACCAGCTTTTCATAATAACTTTTCATTATTTGATTTTTATTGCAAAGTAATGCCAGATGGCTGTTTTTAGTGGAGAGGAGAAAAGATTTATGTATGTCATCAGGATGGCACCATGGATTGCAAGAATTGAAGGAAAAGCTGCAAAACAATCTGTGAAATGATTGAACAATCACAGAATACACTATGGGTGTGCTGCCTGCAATAATTCTTTTTAGGTCTCACCTAGGTTAAAAAATTGCCACAATGGTCAAAACTCAAAACACTTTATTTTGCTCATTGATCAGCCTTATTTAATATAAAGCATAAAATAAAATAAAATAAGATAAATAAAACAAAATGCAATAAAAATAAACTGAACACTGTCACCACAAGTGAAACTTTTGTAGTTCAAGTAAATTATTTTGAACATTGAGAGTATTCATGCTAAGCTTCATTTAAGACCTTCATAGACAAAGCTAGGAACAATTAAGAAAGAGGGTTAGCAGTTATTGTTATTACTGAACTTGGAACAAGTTTAATTAAGTTAAGTTTCTAATAAAGTCTCTGTTGAATCTTGTTGGCTATTAAACGAAAGTTGGTGACATTATAGAGGTGTGCATCATTCTGATCAGTGAAGAGCATAGTGGCTCACATGGTTAGAATGCTGGGTTGACAATCAGCAAGCCCACATTCAAAACCCGAGTGATGCTGTGTGACAGAGTAAGCTCCCCATTCGCTCCAGCTCTTGCTGATCTAGCAGTTCAAAAGCATGCAAAAAGTAGATAAATAGGTATCACTTTAATGGGCACTTAATAGGGACATGAAAGGAGCCCCCAACTGGGTGTCCCCTGGGCAACGGTGTTGTCACCAGCTAATTCTTTCAGCCAGAAGCACCTGGCTATATTTTCCAGGGCCTTAATTGATAATACTCTATAAAGCATACTACATTTTTTAACAGATGAAATAGTTTAATGGCCTTTTACCAGATACAGAGGGAAGGCTGGCAACAGACAGAACTGGAATCAATCATCTCCAAAAAATGTGCTACGGATCTTGAAACATGTAGATCAGAGGTGATAATCAAAACATTCTAAACTCTGTGCTTTTAATGTGATACTTCATTGGCAACCTGTACACAGTTTGTACTTCCTGACATCTTGTTTAGCAAACAGCAGTCCAGTCCTATTTATGATCAGGAGATTAAAAATGTTTTTCATTCTTCATGGAAAAATGGATAGATGCATTATTTAACAGCTCTGTTCATGTTTATAACTGGATAGGATTTGGAAATAATTCAATCTGTGTTTTATTATATAATGCACATGAACAGAAATGTAATCTGGTCCCAATCTTTTACAGTCAATAGAATAATAAATCCCAGATTTTTATTTGGAGTTAAAACATCAAAGTGTGACCTCACCATGCCCTTCTCCCATTGGATCACCCTATCATCTCAATCTGCTATAGAAAACTATAGCTCTTTTTTCATCCCCATATTCACATGGAGAGTAAGTGGAACAATGGATGAAAACTAATCAAAGAGAGAAGCAACCTAGAACTAAGGAGAAATTTCCTGACAGTTAGAACAATTAATAAGTGGAACAACCTGCCTCCAGAAGCGGTGAATTCTCCAACACTGGAAGTTTTTAAGAAGAGATTGGACAGCCATTTGTCTGAAATGGTATAGGGTTTCCTGCCTGAGCAGGGGGTTGGACTAGAAGACCTCCAAAGTTCCTTCCAACTCTATTATTCTGTTCTGTTTTGGGTGGATGACCTCATCTTTTATGCAGATGGCAAGGAACAGAGGAAGGCCAGTATCAGAGGCACAAACAGAAACAGCACCTTGCAGTGTCAACCCTGATGTACAGAACAACAAAGCTGATTTTGTTCGAGTCTTATAGGAACTGTTACCTAGAGAAAAGGACTGAAAAAGGACTTTTTTAAAGTCCAGAACAACATAACATTCAAAAGCCGCTCACTATATTTGGGAGGAGGAGGAAGAGGAAAAGGAGCAGGAGGAGGATGAGCAGCAGGAGCAGCAGGAGGAAAAGATATACAACACCACTAGACTTGCAAGATTCTGCTATTGTAGCCATTTTCAGTAACAATAGGTTTAGCCTTCCTGTGGAGTTAATATCCTGGTCTGGTCTATCTGATGGGGCTGCATAGATAATATCCCATTAGAATGACTGCCCAGACTAGCTAGGAAGGGGGTGGGGAGACTCCTGTATTATTAATTGATTATTTCTTTGAAGACAATAGTCAGTCAATGGATCTTCCTAATGCTAAAATGATAGTCTTTAGAAATGTTTTAATGTGAAATCTCTGCTGGTCAGGAAATAAAGTGGATATGCATATATGAAAAAGAGTCTGTGAGTTTGGAGGAAACAGATAATGAAAGAGAAAAAAGACAGAACATTTAGAATTCCTCAACGGTATTAGATAACACTAAAATAAACCTGAGATTGCCAATTTGTAGGGAATCTCTTTTTTGTGCTGCTTGCCACCACCCATCCTATAGCTGTGTATTTCCAGATAAAAGATTTGATGCAGTATTATATATGAACTAGGATAGATTACACCATAAATTTCCCCACGTGCTAGTCCTCATCTGCAGCCATGTGAACAAGAGAAGAAAAAAAGACAGCCTATGCTATTTTCGGTTTGCGCCTTTTCCCCCTTTACAGAGAATGCCCTTTATGTGGGATGTTATTTTTACTCCATCGCTGAAGGGAAGATTAAGCTTAATCCTAAAGCTTAAAAGAAGATTGCAAACATATTGTCCATGTATCATCTGAAATGTTTTTTTTAAGTCCTTCAAATTTACATTATGTAGCCAGGCTTCTGTAGTTAATCCTGAAATATGTTCACACATTTAATTTCTGCTAAAGAGTGGTTCAAGAAAAAGAGCTCTCCAATATTAGTCTCCATAAAAGGGCATCACCTAAGAAATGGAACACAATTAAGCCCCTCCTAGCAGTCTGTAAAATTCATTCTAGAATCTCACCTGGTATTCCTTCATGAATCCAGTAATTAATGTCTGTTCCTCCACCATCTTCAAAAACACTGGTAATGTTGAGAGGCTTCAAATGTTTCATGATTTCCTTCATGATACAACGAGCCTTAAGGCTGCCCGTGAAAGCCAGGCCAGTGGGCGTAAACGTTCCTTCGTCTGATTCCATAACCATATCAAAGTTGGAAATGTTTACCTGAAAAACAGAAAGTGAACTTCTGTTGAAATACAGATGATGTTGAAAGGGCAATTTGGCAAGTACACCATGTCAGTGGTCATTTTACTTCCTGGGATGCCATGAGATGAGACAGGAAAATTATCTAGTGCATATTGTTTTGATAAACTGTAATTTTAATTACATGGCTAAACCATGAAATTTATTCAGTGTTGTCTATGATCCTTGTTTACAGACTCGATTACATTGTACTTTGCAGTCCTAGCTTGTGGGAGCATTTAAAATCCCAGTTTCTAGATTTTGAGATAAATAGTGATTTTTTCCTTAGGTAATTATCACACTGGATAAAATAAATGTAAACTAGGTGAATAAATTTTTACCTTTTCAAGTGAATAAATAATATGGTATGTATCTTCATTTATTAAACAAATGCTGGGATATAAATTACTGCTTCCTGCATGCCTTTTCAAAGTTCTATGCAAATATTAATTAAACTGGTTTCAAAATATTAAGTAGCAAGTAATTATTACTAAACCGAATACTTCCACTCTGGGAGTGCTGATTAATTTTCTGGATGCCCTAAGGGGAAATTTTGAAGTTTGGATTTAGGAGTTTCATTTAGTTTCATTTTTTTTTTTTATCTTGAAACATCTATGTTTAGTTGCAAAAAAGAAGGGACACAATTGGCATTGCCACAGCCATATAACGGTGCTGGCTCCGGAATCAGAGCAAGGAGATTTTTTTAGCTCATTATGGCGGCCTTTTCCAACCAGCTGCCTTTCAGAAGTATTAAATTTCAACTCCCATAATCCTCCAGCGACAATGGCATACCAAACGGTCTATCATATTATGCTGGTAAAAAGCATTCCTTTGCTGCTGCAGTCTATATCTCCCCAGTTAGCACTTGCTCAGATAAATCTCTAAATTGCAAACTTGGTCCTTCAGAAGGCATGCAGCCTGTTCAGGACTGTTAGCCTGCTCTATTCAGGCGGGTCAGATTTCCTACCTAAAATATCTCCATTCCAGAGTGTTTGTCCTTATCTATTCCACACAGAAAGGAGAAAAGTACATTGCTAGACACCCCCCACCCATTCCCCAGGTTTCTCTGTACATGGCTACAGGTGTATGGTGGCTGGTTTACAAAAATTAGAGTTGGTAGGAAAGGGAAAGTTACCTGCCATCCTAACGCTGTTCTTCTTGCATGTAAATACCCATTGAAAGCTATGACAATGTCTCAAAATTTCAGTTTTGCAACTGGGTATTTTTCCTGACAGCTGTGACCTTGGTTATAGGTTAGCATAGAACCCTTACAGGTAAATATTGTAGATATGTATGTGTGAAGGAGAAGTTAGGACGTTTGGTGAGGCAGGTACATACTGCATACCTAACCAAGAAAAATCAAGGTGATTGTTTTTCCTGGAATTTAGACTGACTAGTAACTTACTGGAAAGATTAAGCTTCAGATTTTCCAGCTTATAAAATCGATTAGATTGCCCCAAGTTCAGGGTACAGGAGATGGAGTGAGGTGAGACTTTTCACAAATGAGAAAATAATTTTTCCTCAGGTCCCACTGAGCATCAGCATTGCAAATTGCAAAATGGATCTTTTGGAATTGCAGCTGATCCCTCCTCCCTTAAAATTTGCAAATTAGATCTGTCTTTCTCCCTTTGCAGGGAGAAAATTAAAAAAAAATTAAAGACAGAGGGAGCAAGAAAGAAAAGGAGAACAGGAGTGGTAGGAAGAGGCAATAAGGTTGACAAAAGTGAGAAAAACTGGTCCTAGCCAATTCCAGTTCTGCCAGGTCCCATATTTATGATGGTTGCAGTGTCCTGCAGATCCTCTTTTGCAAACTTCTGACAAGCAAAATCAATGGGAATAGTAGATTCACTTAACAATGATGTTACTAACTTAATTACTATGGCAAGAAAAATCGTAAAATGGGCCAAAATTCACTTAACAACTGTCTTGCTTAGCAACAGAAATTTTGGGCTCAATTGTGGTCATAAATTTAGGTCTACTTGAACAAGATATACCATGTCTAAGGTTTAAAAAAGTCAAAACATAAGTGAATAATTGACAATCTTTGTGCATCACAATAATGTATCTCCATATGTTTTTTTTAAAAAATCACTGCTACCATATAGTCAAGAATAGGCTCATTTTTATTGGTGAACCATGAATACAAACAGCAGCATGACAGACTGAGGATGGGAATCTTATTAAGTCCTGTTAATGAACGATTTATAATATTCAAAGCAAATACTTTCAGAGTAACTTAACTACCTAAGGGTAGCTAGTAATGATAACAGTTAAGAGGCCAGTCTGAGACTATGTAAAAGGAATATATATGAAACAGATGAAATATCAGAGCATAAGTGAAACAAAAGTATTGGTAGCAGGATTAAGCAAATCTGGTGTCTCTGATGACAGTTTCTCGGATCTCAATGTAATCGGGGGAAAAAGAAAATCCTTTACAATGGTGGGATTTTACAAGCTGGTGGCAACAGCACATTCCTCAATGTCTATGGGGATTCTCAGTCATCCAGGTCATGGTTGTCAAAGGTGTTTTTTCAAGAGGCAACTGGACTTTCTTGTTTTTCTTTGAAGACATTTAGCTTCTCATCCAAGAAACTTCTTCAGCTTTGACTGGATGGAAATGGAAGGATTTAAATTCAGTCAGAGCTGAAGAAGCGTCTTGGATGAGAAGCGAAATATCTTCAAAGAAAAACAAGAAAGTCCAGTTGCCTCTTGAAAAAACACTTTTGGGAGCACATTCCTCAGTTGTTACCTTTTTCAGTAATGGCTCACATCTTTCTAATATCAAATCCAGAATGGGAAGTACCATTAGTATATGATATGGTTACACCTCTCCACCCTTCCGTTTCTTATTCTAACTGTTTAATTTGGCACATATGTTTAAAACAACAACGTTTCTACAAAAAAAAAAAAATCAGAATGTAAAAGAAACCAAAACCTAACAAAACTTTTTTAAAAGCAATTTTGTTAATGAATTAATTACAATAGCTAAATTATTGCAAACTAAAAGAAAGATAAAAAAATAGAAAAAAGGAAAAGTGCAAAGGGAAATAGTATAGTTAAAAAAAGAAAAGAAATATTAAAAAAGATAGTCACAATCATCATCTAAACATAGAACAATTAACCAGTGGAACAACCTGCCTCCAGAAGCAGTGAATGCTCCAACACTGGACGTTTTTAAGAAGAGACTGGACAGCCATTTGTCTGAAATGGTATAGGGTTTTCTGCCTGAGCAGGGGGTTGGACTAGATGACCTCCAAGGTCCCTTCCAACATCATCATCATCATTATCATCATTATTATTATTAATCATCGCACAGTCAGCCAGATGTTCAGATTGGATTTGGCATTTTTATCTCCCTATCGAGTCCTTACCCAGGACCTGGGATAGGCAGATGTGGATGTTTGATGGTATTACAGATAGCGTTGCAGGATGGAAGCAGTTCCTAGTAAGGCCGTCTTTTGCAATTGACTAATGGCGAATTTGTCAATGCCAATGGTGTTCAAGTGGTGCTCCAGGTGTTTTGGGATTGCACCCAAGGCGCCTATTACTACTACTACTACTACTACTACTACTACTACTACTACTACTACTACTACTAATAATAATAATAATAATAATAATAATGTATAAACAGTTTTAGTAAATTTCCACTTTTTCTTAAATTGTAAGCAATCTCTTCCCATCCTATCTTTTATCTATAAATAAATCCATAGAGCATCATCATTAGAGCCCTGGTATCAGCAAATATTTATTAAGAGTTACCCAGAAAAAACAGTATATCTATTTTAATCTTGAGGAAATAACCCAATTTTATATTCTTTCCTTTTAGGAATAGCCTTCTAGACTGTATAGGTCATCCTTGACATATGCCCATAATGGAGCCATAGAGTTGTATGTCACGACGATCGTAATTTATGACTTTTTTTGCACTGGTCATTAAATGAATCATCATGATCATTCAGTGAATCAGCAGTCATTAAACAAATAGCATAGTCCTTAAGCCAACCAATGCTTTGCTCTGAGCATGGTTTTGCCAAAAATAGGAAGCAAGTGCTGGCTTTTAACAAAATATAGTCATGTTACTGCAGGATGCTGTAAATGTTTGTTAATGAAGCTGTGTTGCCGAGCACTCAAAGTTTGGTCACATGACTTAGAGTGGTTCAACCTTCATAACTTTGAATCTGGCTCATAAGTCTCCTTTCTCGGGTTGGTTGTAATTTTGAATGGTTGCTAAACAACTGGTTGTAAATTAAGGAATACCTGTAGCTACTGGAAAGAATAATAGTTTGACATGCATTCAGATCTCTGATTAGCAATGGTACACCGAGTGCATGGTCTTACAGAACCTTGCTATAGATAACCTTGTGAATCATTTAAGTTGTAAAGCACATCCTTAACTTCTCTCTTCAACTTTTCTGCCATACCATTCCATTCTTTTCAGCCTCTGGATTCTGGACTTGTTAGAGAAGAGTGATACAACTGAAGTTATTAAAGTCACATGCAGTCTTCCCAAAGCCTTTGGTAAGATATCCAGAACTTTTTCAAAGGTTGTCACCTATTTGTAATTTTTAATGCAGGGAAATTGATTAAATATAAATGGCATAATCATATTAAGTGCATTGAATTTAACCCAACCATGTAGTCCCATTCATCAACCATATGCCAGTCCCAAGCCCGGATAAATGGGGAGGGTTAGGGAAAGCAATAGTGAATGACACTGTAAAAAATCTCACAAGAACACTTTATGGCAATAATTCAACATGACTCAGATATGGATACCAACAGCAGACCCTCCCGGCTGGATGATAACATTGAATTAATTTAGTATAATTTCAGCAATGCTGGAAGTAAATTGAATCTATTTTAGCTTTTGTTCTATTGTATTGAAATGTGTCCGTGTTATTCTGTTCGTAGCCCAAATATTATCTCGTGCTGCAAAGAAAAAAAAACATCCCTATGATAGAACAATAAACAAAGCAATG